CACAGCATGAACAGTTCACCAGCCACACTCCACGGATGAATTCCCCGCCATCTTTATGGAACGAAACAAGACTTTGAAGAAGGGCTGAGGCTTCCTGCAGCTTCATCTGTGAAAGGAATTCGGGTGGATACACCCATTCCCATAGCGCTGCACATCCGAACCAGTTCCGTTATTTTTACAACGTTTCGGCACTTGGGCATCGTCAGGTAATAACAATGACCTGACGATAGCCAAGTGCCGAAACGTTGTAAAAATAATGGAACTGGTTCGGATGTGCAGCGCTGTGGGAATGGGTGTGTCAACCCGAATTCCTTTCACGAAACAAGACTTGTCAGGAGTAATACTGCTTTCGTGGAGTGTGGCTGGTGAACTGTTCATGCTGTGGTCTGCAAGCGTCGTGTGGTCTCGTCCGGTCAAATTAGAACCTATTACCGTACAATTCGATGGACCTCTGGAAGATGGCAACAAAGAATTAAAGACAATAGCATGAGTTGCTGATAGTTTTGCTGTTGCTACTCTTTCATATCACTCTACTTATCTTTATCACCATGGTTGGCTAACACCCACTCTCCCAACATTCTCCTCTGTTTCCACTGAGCCTAGAGATGACGTAGTAATATTTATACCTCTACTTACTAGTACTAGTATATAGCTGGCACAAGACACTCCGGTCGGTCGGGTTAGCAGATATTACCGTAATGAGATCACGTGATGAGATGGTGATCTGCTACAAAGCTATAAACTACCCCAGCGGCAAGTTTTACTGCATCCCATGGAGCGCCTTTGCAAACTCTGCCTATCACTCCACGGTTGCGAATCATATCGTGGTGAACATTTTCAAGTGAATAATCAAACGTGTCTGTCGTCAGGACCATCATAAACAATGAAGATGAAATGTGAAATTAGAGACTACAAGACGTCATGACTATATATAGGGGAAGTTCTCTACTGGTGTGATTTACACAAACAGAGATAACCTACAGCTACAAAATTCACACCTCACCACAGAACATTGGCAGGATGTGCGAGAATTGTCTGCTACTCAAGACAATGTGACAAAAGTGGAAATATCACAGAAGTACTGTAACAATAACGTATGCTGATTGTGTCGCTACAAGAGTGTTATCTTTTTTTTAGGTTATGTTTGTTTGGTAGTTGTCCCCAGCAGTACAAGTCTAGTAGGATTTACGAATACATTTTCAACACCTGTCTGCCTCAGTAACAAGTATGCGTATGTATGTGAAAGCTGAGACTACCGTTGGTAACGGGTCATTTGCGTGTTGAAGACGATACTGTTGACCCAGTACTTATCCTGCCACCTGGTTGAGAGTGACATTCCTACATAGCTGATTGCTACATCACATAGTGCTAGATGATTTACATGTACCAATCAGCTTATTATCAGTTATTCCCCTAGCTATGCAGTGACCTCTGTGATTGATAGTGCTAGCTGATAATATACGATTACCAACCAGCTATGTCCGTTATCCCTAGCTATGCAATGACCTGTCTGTTTGTGTGTGTGTGACGCATGTAGCATAAACTATATAGGCACAGTTGTAAATCTTGCAGCAGACGCGCAGGTGTGATGATTTCCAACCCACTCAGTTTCAGAAAGAAAAACGTTGTTCGTGCATCTATCTTTGTACTCATGATCTGTTTGTTGTGGATGTCAAGTGTACATCACATTTAGTGTTCACTACTCTCCAGTGTATATAGTGGAGAGTTGTACTGGGAAGACATCTGTTACATTTCCAGTATCTACAGTACATGTATGATCATTAGTCACGGCAAGAGCAGCAGTGCCACCATCAAGTCATCTCCACTACCCTGCTACCTGCCAACACACACCACATATATTGCTACAAAGTAGCAGGCATCATCACGGAGAATGGATTAGGCTAGCTTGGACACATAGCACGAATGTATGACAAGCGTATGTCAAAGTCTGGTATGTTTGGACAGCTCCTTGAAATGCGTTCTCAGCATGGTCCCCGCAGGCGACGATGTGATGTGGATGGTGAATGATATGCAATCCCTTAGTCAGTCCCTGTTCTCCGTTGACTGCTGCTATACTGGTGTCCAGGTTGGTTTTGTTTACACACACGTTGCTCATGGTCGTAGTCACACTGGACCTACTCCAGGTCGAGATCGATCAAGGTTTACACTGT